TTTATTCCTTAATATTCGTAGATTATTTGTGTTGATTTAATTTTTGGAACAGTTTTTTAATGAGAGGGAAAATTTATTTATATATTAATATATCGATGTTAAAAAAAAAAAAATGTATCAATAGGCAAGCTGGAACTCGATTTTTATCAAAAAAGAAAGAAAGAAAGAAAGAAAAGAAAAGAAAATAGAGCGCGGGTAAGAAATACTTAGGTTAGTATATATATACTTTTTTTATTCGGCTTTTACTTTATTCTCGGACCGTGAGGGGTTTATTTCCTTTCAAAGGAGAGGTTTCCCGTTGCGTACAAGGAAAACCGTTAAAACTTTAAAAAAAATCATTACTTGTTTTGGCAACAGGATTAGTAATATATTGCCGTACACGCACGTACACCGTACTACGAATACTGCGTTCTGAGAAAGGTTAATTGGGGGTGCTTCTTTCTTTTTTTTTTGAATTTCTGAGATCGTCACTCAAAAATTTTAGTACGCAAATATTGGTTTAACAACTTTCCCATGAATTAAACCTTATAAGTAATATATTTAATATACAAGTATACAACATACGGATATACAACATAAAGTATAACGGATAAATTGATAACGTAGTTTATAAAATAGCAGGATTCAAAAGGAATTGGTTTCATAACATTCGTGATTAAGTGAAAAATGTAACTTTGGAGACAAAGGTTTTTGCAATAAAGGATTGGGAGAATTATAAGTTGCCGCATCACAAATGAAACAAAGAAATCACGTGAAAGTCTAGACAAATGGAAGGTTACTTCGGCTAGTAAATGACGGAGTAGGAAATATGTAACTGGATGTTTTCACATGTAATTAATAATCGAATGTTTAAAAGTCAACCAGTATTGGTGTGACCGAAAAAAAAATACGTAATATTTATGTGTACCCAAATATCCTAATGCGCATACACATGTTACCGTAATTATGTTATTACAGTGATTAAAACCCATCCATGTAACCCCTTTTCGGTTTAAAAGTTCCGAATTTATCCTTTTAGAAGCACGCCTGTCACACTTAGTAATTTTTGATCCTTGTTTTTTCTTATGACGTGAGGCATTACCAGTTGCACTCAAAAATATATACGACGTAATAGTAAATAAGGTTGGAATTATTTAATGAAAGTTACAGTACTCCTGCAGATGTTTACAAATCCGATCTCTGTCAAGTCCATCATCTCATCGCTTAAATCCTTTCTCTCCCTTTCTTTCTCTTCTTCTTCCTTTTTGTATATGATATGATATGTAATATTCTGTCTCAATTCTCTAACATACATAATAATAAATAATCACATTGCAATATTCTTGAGGTAATTATATATATATATATATATATATGTATATACTGTATATACTGTATAAATGTATTATTTTTTTATTTATTACTATTCATTGTGGAATGAACAACCGTCTGGCATGACCTTACTAATTTCCACCTGAGCGATGAATTCTGGTATGGGATCAAACAATGCATCGAACCCTTGATTAAAACCACATCGTTCTTCTTGCAAAGGGTCCGGAAAAGGGGTTGTTGGACGCGGAGGAACAGGAA